CGGGAGGGGCGGGGAGCTGTGTCAGGAGCGACAGCCCAGCCCCTGCGGCCTCGCAGACGGTGTCTGCAGGGACGTGGCTGCACTGACAGCCGGGGCGGAGCGCGGCTTCCCCGCTGATTGAAATGCATCCAGCTCCCCTCACAGCGAGGACGTCCAGGGCTCACTCTGGAGCCAGGCATGAAATCTACGCGGGGCGGCGAGGGCGCTCTGGAGCCGTTTGAGGGACCTGCCACGGGAACATCTGTGCCGTTCGCTGCTGTGCGTTTCCGTTCCCGCGGCTTCAATTATGCAGTCGGAGCCTGGGATGGGGGGGAGGGAAGGAGGGAGAGGGAGAGGGAGAGGGAGGGAGAGAGAAAGGGATGGAGATGGAGGGAGAGGGAGGAGAGGGAGAGGGAGGAGGGGAGGGAGAGAGAGAGAGGATGAAGGGAGAGAGGAAGGGAGAGGGAGAGGGAAGGAGGGAGAGGGAGAGGGAGAGGGAGGGAGAAAGGGATGGAAATGGAGGGAGAGGGAGATGGAGGGAGAGGGAGGAGAGAGAGAGAAGGAGGGGGAGGGAGAGGGAGAATTTGCTGATGCCACGGTTTTCCTTTTTGAAAAGAGGGGTGTCTGGTCGGAGCCTGGGGGGCAGGAGGAGAGAGGCTTTGTGCTCGGCACTGACACAGGGACCTGCTCTGCTCCGTGCAGATGAGCCTGTTTAAAGCATCTCCACCGACCTGCTGAGCTTCCCGGGGTCACAGCATGTTCTCCCCGTGACAAAGGGCGCGTGGGGGTCGCATCCGTGAGCATCAGTGATGGGGGCCGCCCGCCCGCAGCAGAAGGGGCGGGAGAGCTGCAGGCGGAGACACGCCGTCTGGGGTGTGCACGGGCACGTGTGTGCGCCTGTGTGTGTGTCTGTGCGTGTGTCTGTGTGTGTGCACAGCCTGAGCGTGTGACTGCCCGGCAGTCCTCACCTGTCCTCCTCGCTGCACCCAGAGCCTGTTGGGGTGGGGGGTGGTGCTGAGAGAGCTCCGAGGAGGAGCCCACAGCGGGCAGAGGAGCTGGGAGCAGGGCAACCAGGTCATCCGTGGCTGGAAAGAGCCTTCGTCCCTCCTGCCCTCCGGGCGCTGCTCCGGGCCGGTGGTAACACCTCCAGGGGTGCCCGGCGGCCGAGGCCCCGTCCCCGCTCCACCGTCAGTGCCTGCGGATGCAGACTGTGCGGTTGTCTCTGCCGCCTGCAGACGCGCCTCCACCCGCCCTGGGCCCTCAGATCCAACAGCTGATGGTTTGGCGAGAAGCAGCCATCGATTCCCGGCAGCGTGGACCCCTGGCTGCGGTGGGAGGAGCAGAAAGGCCGGCTCCCTGTTCCCCGTGAGGGGGCAGCCGGCAACCGGGGCCTGTGCAGCTCTGCTCCTCCCGGTCCCTGCACGGCCGAGGGGAGGGCACCATCCCACTACCCTGGGGGCACAGGGCACCCACACCCCACTGCCCTGGGGGCACAGGCCGCCCGCTGCGGAGTGACGTGGTCAGCGCTGTATCCCCACCTGCAGTTCCTGGGCCCAGACTCAGACTCTAGACCAGGGGTGGGCAAACTTTTTGACTCGAGGGCCACAATGGGTTCTTAAACTGGACCGGAGGGCCGGAACAAAAGCATGGATGGAGTGTTTGTGTGAACTAATATAAATTCAAAGTAAACACCATTACATAAAAGGGTACGGTCTTTTTTTTTTTAGTTTTATTCATTTCAAAAGGGCCGGATCCTTGCCCACGGCTGCTCTAGAGTGATGCTTTCTTAATGCAAATAACTCACCTGCATTGGCTTTAAGGTCTTCAGGTGTGACCATGACAACAAATCGGATTGCACGTTCATTTCGAAACATCTCGTAGGACCACCGACGGATAGACCGCATGCATTTCACTGCTGCAATGCCATTGTTGGCAATAAGAACCTGGGAGAGTTAGGGGATGGGAATTGGAGAGAAAAATAGAAAAAGCAAGCAATGATGGAGAGAAAGAGGTGAGACAATTTTTGTAAATCTATCTTATTTTGAAAAGGCAGATTTTCTATAGGAATTTGTATTCCTGGTCTAGGTAGTTAAGAACTAGCTCCCACATGACCAAGGGATATTTTAAAATGTTAGCTAAGGAAATACTTCAATATGTGCCTGACTCAACCTTATTCCTTTCTAGCTTCCTTCTTTTAAAAATCCTCACCCAAGGATATGCTTTTTTTTTAAATTGATTTTTAGAGAGAGAGGATGGCTAGGGAGAGAAACATCGATGTGACAGAAAAACATCAATCAGTTGCCGCCTGTATGCACCCTGACTGGGGATTGACAACCCCACAACATGGGCTGCTCGGGGCAGCGCCCGGCGCATCCTCCCCACTCAGAGGCAGACATTATTTTACGTCTTTAATACATTTTTATTGGTTTCAGGGAGGAAGGGGGAGGGAGAGGGAGAGAGAAACATCCGTGATGAGAGAGAGTCATGGGTCGGTGCCTCCTGCACGCGCCACCCTGGGGCTCGAGCCCACAACCGGCAGGTGCCCCGACCGGAATCGAACCCTGACCTCCCGGTTCCTAGGTCGACGCTCAGCCGCTGAGCCGCGGGCTGGGCTAAATGTGCATTATCTTAGGTCCACGGTGTCTGCGTTCACGGCTGTTCTTTGGGCGGGATCATGGGGCGGGACGGGCGGAGGGCCAGCCGGCCGTCTGTGTGTCCTTGTTCCCCGTTAAACGCAGCCCCGGCGCAGGGGGTGAAAGGGAGGGGCCGGTGGCTTCTGGCTAATTCTGTGAGCCCTGGGCGGCTTGCTTCATGCTCGGCTCAGGCGTGGTGCTGGGGGGGGGACCTTTGTCCTCCGAGGGCCCCTGGGAGGCTATACCGTCGTTCTTGGCCGCACAGAACAGCCAGCCTGCTGTGTGGTCCAACCTGAATTAGCTCACCCCAGGGCCTGGGCAGGGCCTCCTCTGGCCCCGGGGGGCGGTGGGGGGCGCCCAAGAATGTGACGCCCCCCCCCCCGGGTTCTCTGGGCCCCAGTGAGCTGCCTGCTGGCTGTGCTTTTGGGGTAAAACAGTGCCTGTTGAGGCAAACTCTGCTGTGCCTCAGGTCAGTCGGTCAGTTGGGGGACACCGATACGCTGCGTGCTGTGTGTCCCCCGAGCTGTGAATAGGCCTCCAGAGGCGTGAAGACCTTGGGGTTTGTCGACCCTCCCAGCTCGCTCTGTGGGGTAGGCCCAGGCCCACAGATGGCGAAGGCTCAGGGAGGTCACGGGGTCCCTGGGCTGTGCCCTGGTGTGGCAGCCCTGGGCGTCCCCGGGTGTGCACTGTGGGGGGGGCAGGCCTGGCTGTGGGGGGTGC